ACTTAAGATGCTTCCAAAGGTTCCCTTCTTCTGACCCCTCATAAACCAGCCAACAAACCAGATCCAAGAATTGCCAACATTTTAAAACCCAAGGATCCTTTTATGTATAAAGCAGAATTATTTTTTGTCTAGTCTATACTTTTATATATATATATTTTATTTTTTTTTTTAAGCCAATCTAGATGGGAATTAATTCCAGGCAATTTTTGGAATAGGACATACAAAACACACCTTGCATGGCCACTAAGAAATCTGTAGCTGTTTCCTGCTTGAGTCTAAATTTCTGCACATTGATCAAGCTCAGCTGGAGTGTGTTGCTCTGACCACCTCTGACTGAGTGAGGCACCACCCTATTTTTCGCAAGTGTTGCATTTTGTTTTCCAATTTTGTGGTACTCTTTGTTCCCTCTACTGGTCTTCTATTCCCTCCACCACTCAATCAGTGAATTATCTTTTGCCTTACTTGGATCTGCTGCCTTCTATTACTTCCTTTCAGCCACATCTGCTTCCCCTCACCCTTTATGTGCGCTGAAACTTTGTGATCTTCTGTACAAATCTTCCCATCCCCCTTCTCTGGTTTCCCATTTCTGAACCTGAAGATTGTTTTAGATCATCTTGCTCACATCCAGCATGAAATGAGTTCTGTTGGCAGAAGGACACAGCAGCTTTACTGAATGTGCTCAAGTTGCCTGAGATTATGTGATAAAAAAGAAATTGCAATTTCTGATAGGTAATGCTTTCAGATGTTAAGCGTGGGACAGCCATGGGGCAGAAAAGTCCTTGCTAAAGGCAGATTCCCTCCTATTTATCAGTAGCCTGAAACACCATATTTTTGATATACCAGATGAACCTGACTTGCTTTTACCACACTCTCAGTGCAATTTGGCACTGTCTTCCTTTCACAAAAAAACAAAAACATAAACAGGAGAAAGGCTTTGTTTATTTGTTTTCATTTAGAAGATAAAAATTCATCATCCTGCACAGAAAAATCCTTTATGCTATAGAGTTACAGGCAGGGAAAGACAATGAATTATATCTTATTATACTCAGTGTTTATTTTTACATTGAAAGCTGTTACTGTCTCTTCCTTTGCTGGCCAAAATGGGGCAAAAATGCTTTATTAAAAAAATTATATATTTCTAGCTCAGAGTTTTAAAATTACCTGTACAAAGGACACTTTCAGTCAATCCATATAGGCAACTGGAAATTTGTTTGAATGCAAGCAGCTAATTGTCACAGCAATTTGCATGGGGACAGGTTTAATGTTAATCTAGAAACTGTTTAGTTATGTTTTATATATATTGGACATGAGGAGTGAAAAAATTCTATAGTAAATGGGGAATAAAATCAAAAGCTAAAAGCTTGCAGCATTTTTCTTTAAAATTCTAGAGTCAATTATCTAATGAACTGGTGTTTTGATGAGATGTGGCACTTTAATTCCCTTTAAAAACAAAAAATCCCAACCTAAGCTGATCTTTTGTCACTCTTCAAGCACTAACAATTATTAGTGATAATACTCCTATTGACATCAATGGGAGGAAGAAGTGTGAGGAAATATTAAGACTGTAGGCAAATAAATGTCTTGTATAATTATTCTATTCTTAGCATCTTGCATTGCAGTAAGTGGCTTAAGCTTTTCAATGCTAATGGCTCATATAACTTCCATCATAAAGCTGCCTTCATCTGAAGCCATCTGATAATGACATTTACCCTCCCTGTTTAGTGAGGAAGAGTAGAAGCCACTTGCTGTAAAATATCTGAGGTCAGCTGGTTTCTTTTTACACATAAAGTGTAGCTCTTGCACAGATGGTTGAGAAGGTGCAGAATGTTATATTCATCCCATGTTTAATTGTTTTTGTACGCCTTGAAATTTAAAGAAAATTTAGGATGTATGGCAGTAGCTTTCCCTGTAGGTTGCTATGGTAAACCTGTTATTCTATACAAAGAGGGAGTATGTTTAGTAAAGTGCTGATCCCTTTTCAGTATAATGTGAGCTTCAAATTACTTTTGCATGATTGAATTTGTTTGGTAAGTATTTTATCACAATAGCTAAGAGAAGAAGATCATAGAATAAGGTGTGGCTTCTGATATTTCAGCAGCAGATACATATTATATAATGAGCTGTTCAGAAGCAATAGGACTTTAATTCTCTGTTAATTTATCTCCTTAGAGTAAACCCAATTTACATAATCTAACCAAAATCTCACTACGTTTGGAGGCAGAATATTTTTGTAGCCAGTACAAAGTGGCATTTATTTAGTGACACCATTAAATTAATTTCTCATGCTGAATCTGAAACGTTTGTAAAAATAAAGGAACTAATAATTTGAGTATCAATTTCAGAAGCAGTGTAACAAAATACTATAATTGTATTTTTGAATATTTAAATATAAAAAACCTTTTCCAGAGCACTTGGTGACTGAAGTTTCTGTCTATTTTCAAGACACTTTCAATTCTGCTGAGGTCTGCAGTCAGATGATCTAAACCATATTTAGGTGTAATTTAGGTGAGAGCCAGGTAAAAAAAAAAAAAAAAAAAAAAAAAAAAAAAAAAAAAAAAAAAAAAGAGGCACAGATTGAGAAAGTAGGGCCTAAATTCCCTTTGATCTTGTATCTCCTACATGAAAAAATGTGCTCCATCTGTCTAGGGATGGGCTTCCCTCCATTCTTCTGCTGGTGAAACTGTTGCACATTAGCTAAAATGAATAAATATTACTTGCAGCAGGGACTGAGAGGAGCCTGTTCCCGCTGCAGCGCAAGCGACCAGCCACTGGACTCTGACTTACTAAATTAAGCATTACAGGAGATAATGCTTAGTTTCAGAACATGCAGGATCCTCATTGTATGACCTTCCTTTGCTCATTCCTCTTGAGGATTTTCCATCTCTACAGACTCCTCTAGTCAAAGCAGTTTGCTTAAAATGGTTTCAACATCTTCAGGCATCCTTATTATAGCAATGTCTGGCCAAGAGACCACTGCTGAAGATTCTTCTTTTATTTATGTCACAGTCTTCACAACAGATGGGTCCTGTTCATCAGGTGCCTCTCAGCCTGCAGGTTCCTGACTGTTCCTTGGGACAGGCTGATGTGGCACTTTTGCAAAAGTGATCAGGTTGCCTAAGGTGAATGCATAAAAAGAGACAAATTAGACTCAATAAAATTCTCAGTGTATTTAGGCACTAGGGATTTTTTTTTCCAACTTCTAATTTGGCTGTCCTTGACAAATAATTACAGCCTAGAGAATGCAGGCCAATAGAATAATTTTTTCTGCAGGCAATCATATCTTAAATTTTGACATTATTACTAAACACAACTTTATTTCATGATGCAGTAGATGCACTTCCAGTAAAAAGTTTATTTCTGAAACAAGTATCCTCATATAATTGACAATGAAACATAGTTTTTAAACTATGCATATAATAAAGGTATTAAGTATTTACTCTAATTCTCTTTTGTATGTCTTTGCTAAAATTCTTGCCCTTTATGTCCTTCTAGATTGAATCCTGGTGTATAAAATGTTAGCTTGGAAGCGCAATGTATGTTGAGGCTTGGGTAGATGAGGAGTATAGAAGTTGTAAAATGAGCTTAGAATTTTTTTTCATGACTAAAAAGATTTCTCCCTATTCCAACTTAATTAGACTGTTTTCTTTAAATAAGGAAAAAAATGCCAAACAAAAAATAAACCCCACCAACAAATATAACAACTTAAGGTTAGAAGTTGGGAAAGGAAGTAATCATTTGTCAGTACCTTACCCCAAAAGGTTTTACTGTCATGACACCTACAGTTAGAAAACCTTTACTGAGGTTTTCATTAACAGTCTTTTCCCATTCAATAAAATATTTCAGCAAATGCTGGAAAAAATTAGTGCAGTGTGTTGTGAACTCTCTGGTTGCATAATGAAAAGCTGCATTTGGAGGATATGTTTTTACTTTCCAGCAATACTATAAATTTGGGGGTTGCGCTCAGTAGTGCAGTGACGAGGTCCAAGTTGAGTTTCACTGATGCTGTGACTAAATTAAATCAATAAGGGCAGGTTTTCTGCATCTTAGTCCTTGTCCATGGTGGCCATTTTTTACACAAAATATCCCTTCCCAAGCCCATCAAATGTATGAGTTTGGTCCATGATTTGTGCCATTTTTAGAACATTCTTTCCCTAGCATTACATAAAATAATTTAAAAACATACAGAGACAAACTCTTGGGAGTTAGGGCCCATTATCTGAACTGAATTGGTCTCAGATATGTGCAGTGTAGGACTTTTCTGTATGTTAATTTTTAATTAATTATTTTTAATTAATAAATTTTAATGTATTAATTTTCATTGTTTTCCACATCTGGCCATTTTGTACTCTGCTCTTAGGGTTTTGGACTGAAATCTGTGGGAACTTGGATAAATCTGTTGTCCCTTTAAGCTCTGGGGAGCTCTCCTGTAAATAGATTGATGGAAGGGAAGACTGTGACAGAGGTTGTGCTTATTTCCTCAGATCTAGACAAGAAAAGTTACAGGGATTTTGCTTTCAAAAAGCTTGACAGGGTATCTGAAGAATTATTTCTCTACATGAATAGAGAATATCTTAGATAGCTCTGTGCATAGACTATTTAATTCTGATCACATTTGTGTTGGTGTTTCTGAGATATGTGCTAAATATTTTAGATCAGCTATAGAGGTTAATTATGCAGATAAGCATGGGCCAGCTCAGTTATGCTAAGTTCAGATATGAAAAACATGCAGTGCTAGTGATTGCTTATTGTTGCCATTTCCACTAAGATTATAACAGTGATATACTTTCCATCTGGTTGCCATGGAGGAGGAATAGTTTTGTTTTGCTATGATTTTGTTTGTTTGTTTGTTTGTTTTTAATTGTGTTTATGATTTATACTTTAATCAATGCAGTGTAACTCGTAATTTGTCTTTGGGGTCAGGATGCAGCATGAACTTGGGGTTTATTCAATCTATTTTACTTTATTGAAATCATGACTCTAACAATTATTTACTCTTACAGGGAGATGTGAGTGTGGCCAATGCACTTGTTTCCCTCCAGGAGACAACAGAGTTCATGGCAAAAACTGTGAATGTGATGATCGACAGTGTGAAAATGCAGATGGCGATGTCTGTGGGGGTATGTGTTCGCTTAATATCACATAACATAGCAGAATTTAGCAGCACAACAGAACTAAATCTTAACTGTATATAGCTTTCTGTTCCCCTTGATTTTATAGAATAATGTCACTATAGACTAATTACATCATTCCTTGATAATAAGGTGGCAGATTTTTGTTAAAAACAAGTACTAGAAGTATTGAACATGTTAGAAAATATTTATTTTAAGACTTTAGGTATGCTAACGCATAAATGGAACTGCTGTATTCCATCAGTTCCATCAGACACTTAAACAAAAGCCTAAAATATTAGGTAGCCTTACATTGTGTTTAATTGTGATGCTTTATTGAGGGTGTTGTAATAAACCTAAAGGTACTGATGGCCAGAAAAACTTTTAAATATTTTGTATTCACTAACAGTGATATGCCTGTTTTCTAAAAAAGTAGCAAAATACGTTATGAAAGAATGTAACATGCTTGAGAGACAGTGTTATAGTAATTGTAGATGCAGATGGTTTATTTTAGTGTTGACATTGAAAGCCTTACATTGTGATATTTCAGTAAAGTATGTTGGTGTTTAGCAGTATTTCAAGGTAGTTTTGGATATGTAAGTGCATGCATACCACATGGTATTTTAAAAGCAGCTGAATAATATTTATCATGAATGCTCTCTTTCTAGTTTTTATGTGCTTTGTTTTTAAAATGGCTCTTTGATTCCACATGTTAACAAAGTTGTTGTATGAACAATGGCACATTGTATTGTATTCCTTATTTCTATGCAGAAAAAAGAATTTATTGCTTTATGCTCCTCATGTACATAAAAAATTCTGACTACAGGGAATATTCCTTCAAGGTGTCTGCCATGCAGAATATAGACATATATAGAAAATTTTGGTTTGAATGCCTAAATAGCCATAAAATAGTTTACAACATTCAGAGTAATTCAATAATATGAGTGTGTAGGGAAAAAAAAAAATTAATTTTGTGTAAAAGACATGAAAAAAAGGCGCTGAAAATCTGTTTCATATTTGTTAGATGTTAAATAGTTGGGACATAAAATTCATCATCATCCATGCTAAAAATATCTCTTTTGTTTATATCACTCATATTTTACATTATTACATCTCCATCTCTTTCTTTTGGGTTTGTCTATGCTTCTGTCTCAGGCTGAACTTCCTGAAATATCTTGCTGAACTGTTTATTCTTTTATCTTTCCTTGTCCTCTTTTCATTGCTATTTTTCTACCACTGTTGCTGCCTAGGCAATCACAGTAAGGACATAAGCCCTTGGTAGTAAATCTGTCCTCAGAGCATTATAAGCTGGACTGTGTGGGGTCTGACAGTGAGCTTAGTGCCTGTAAGCACAAAGAAGGAAGAGCACTGTTTTCAGGTTAAATGCATGCTGAACTGAGAAATGTGAGTGACAACCAAAATGATTTGAATAAGAATTGTTACTGGCCTTCTCCAGCCAGCAGAGACTGATTAATAGCTTGCTTTCCAGACCAGCTGTCCATGCAACGATGGGAAGACATGAGGTGAAAGCTATGATAAATTAGGGTACAACTGAATGAGATCCCATGGCCATGTTTCTGCATGATGGTAGTGAGTCATTCGCTTAAAAATTCAGCTGTCCATCAATGCAGTACCAAGAATAGAGACTTAATGTCTCCACAAAGACAGAGGTTGCAGGAGGACTCAACATAGATTTCACAGCACTCTGCTATTAGAAATTGATTCATGTAATTATGGAATCACAGAACAGTTTGGGTTGAAGGGGACCTTTAAAGATCAGCTAGTCCAACCACCCCTGACATGGGCAGGGAACCTTTCACTAAGATCCGGCTGCTCAGAGCTCCATCCAACCTAGCCTTGAGCATTTTCAGGGGTGGGGAATCCACAGCTCTTGGAAACCTGTTGCAAGTCTCCACACCCTAATCATAAAAAATCTCTTCCTTATGTGTCAGCTAAACCCATTTCCTTTCAGTTTAAAACCATTACCCCTTGTTCTGTCACTACAGACCATGGTAAAAAAAAAAAATCTCTCTCGGTCTTTCTTACACTCCTCCTTCATAGCATTGAGAGGTCACAGTAAGGTCTCGCCAGAGCCTTCTCTTCTCCAGGCTAAACAATCTCAATGCTCTCAGCCATAATAGGGGTGCTCCACCCTCTGATCATTTTTAGGGATAGTCTCTCGACCTGCTCCAACAGATCCATGTCTTCCTTGTACTAGAGACCACAGAGCTCCAGATGGGGTCTCAGCAGAGTGGAGTGGAGAGGGAGACTCACCTTCCTTGACCTGCTTTCCAGATCTTTCTTCATGTTGCTTTTTCTGTGCCTCTGTACATAGACTTAATGTGCTAAGACAGGAGAAGGTGTCTCATGCAGCCTTTTTGAGATAAATATATTCTACCTAATGGCCCTTGCCCTACTGTTCAGGTTTTTTTGATTATTTAAGATTTTCAGTGTTGATCCACAAAAGTATTTAACACCACATTTCCTTTGGCTTTACTTGGTTCTTTGAGTCCTTCATGTGCAAGTTAAATGGTTTTGGTGTGCACACATGACCAAAGAATCACATGTTTGCCAGCAGAAGTCTTTGGCAACTCTGTGTTGCTTTTTTACACCAGGCTTGATATTTACTCATCCTATAACCTGGTGAGACATACTTCTCTCAGCCCTCTGAGGTTATGGCTGAGCTGCTTGCTGCAGATGCATCCTAAGGTTTCAAGTGGCATTTGTTTCATTTCTATGTCCAGTCATGTTTTCCAGTGATTTCATCATTGGTTGCTGCACCTCTCTGGGCCAACTATTGTCCATTATGATTTTTTTCTCTTTCAGGTTTGAGGGCAGGCAGACAGGAACTCAGAACAGTAAAGATCAATTTGAAATGGATTTGATAATGCACTTAATTCCATTCACTTCAATTTGTTCTCTGGATGATTATTGGCCTAGCTGTGAGTTCTTGTCACAGCCAAGTAGCAGCCATTAAAGGAACAAAACAAAACATTTGGGGTCCTCTGCATACCACAAGTTCCTGTAGAATTGTGCTGATCAAAAACTCTGCAACAAAACTAAACCAAACAAAAACAGTAAAAAGGTGGTTGAAACTAGGATCACTAGCAAAGGGTTAAACTTGTAACAGGTAACTTGTGTAACAAGATAGGTATAGATAACAAGACTCTTACCTATGGATGTATCCATTGTGTATTATATCAATGTATCATTCTGTGCTTCAAATAGTGAAGATAAGAACATCACCAATAAGAACATTAGCTTTGATAAGGCCTTTTAATGTTTATTTATAAATGTTTGCACTGTCTTTAACAATAAGAAACAACTAAGACTGGTCATTCCAGTAAACCTGTTCTTTGTCACTCTTGACAGTGGAATACTTTAAGTCTGATCTCTTTATTTTCAAGTGAGCAAGTCCATTGTGATGACTTTTTACTAATTGTTTTGGCCAGAGCACATAAAAATACAATCATCCCCAAAATGCAATCCTAACACTGTAGGGAATCTAGTTGTGTCATGTCACATCAAAGAGTAAATGCAGATTATCTTTTTTTTTCTTAATACCAATGCCTTTAGTTATCATTAGTTTGAAATTCTGGTTGTGCTAAAAGGGCTTCCAGAAGCTGGAGGAGTTCACTTATTCTTGGAGCAAATGCTGAGGTAATTTTTATTTCACTCCTTACACAGATTTGCCTTCACACCTCTCTCTTCTCGAAGTGTAAGAAAACAGCTCAGCAAAAACTCTGCTTGAGATTTTATGGGAGGAGACTTTAGTGGTGGTGGTTTTTTGGGCTTTTTTTTTTTTTGCTTTTTTTTTTTTTTTTAGGAAATCCACTAGTAAATTAATTTTCCCCACTCATACACATCTTTTGTTGATTTCCTTCTCTTGCATTCTCATGCCCAAATACAAGCATCAAAGTGTCTTCATATAATAGTTTTGGTCAGGATTCCTTGTGTGCAACACAGAACATGGATAAGAGATGCCACCCATCAAGGTGGACTCTCGATAGGACTTTTTATTTCTTCTCAACTTACAATAAAAAACTGGTGTTTAAATACATCTATTATATATTCAGGACCCAAAAGTTAGGGTGATCCTTTTGACTCACAATTTTTCTTACTTTTGTCTCTGTAAACTTGAGGCATGTTGGGTACCTGTTGTCTGTGCTTCCTGATTTTTGACATTCTTAGTTCTTGACATTCTTAGTTTGTGACATGCTGTTGTTGTTGAGGTTATGAGGAAAAGAATGACACAAGTTTTTTTCTGTATCTGCATTGACATCTCTTGTTGTTGAGCACACACACTTCTGCCAAGTCATCATGACATATTGTTGTTCTGTGAGAGTGCAGACCTGATTTTGACAGAATAATACATTCCTTAGTTTACTCCTGTGACTGTGTTGTTGGTTATCAATGCAGGTCATTTGATCTCATTCTGGGGTTTCTTCTGGCACCTACTTACACATTTTCATCCATGCATCATTTGCTACAGTATTAATATTTCCAATGTTATCTCTATGAATTGTCAGAGAACAAGGGAAAATCTGGAGTTTATAAGGCATACATCTACCTAAAGCCCCAATTCCCAGCTTTCCAATGATTTAAACTTTTAAATCTGAGACAGAAACTTTCATATCACATTTTTATAGTGATGGATTCTAGAATTGCACAGTCATCACCAGGATGTACAATGCTAAAGCTCCCTCTCACAGTCTGATATAAGTTGCCCCTAATTGCCATGTTCCTTTGAATATAAAATTTTCATTACTATCCAGCCAGGCTAAATAATTGGATTCAGAGGAAGGTCTGCCTTTTTTGCCTTTTTTTTTTTTTTAATACAAGGTATAAAACAGGAAATGTAAAATCTTTCTGTTTTATGAAAATTCTAGGTCCATGCTGCAGAAATCATGAATGACATTTATTTTTGTGATCTGTTCAGTGGAGCACAAGCATGATATTTTCAGATATCATGTTCTTATGAGGACCAGTAAGACCATAACCATAGAAAT